CTCAGAGTCAACCACAGTTTGTTATGATCCACACAGTCAAACGCCTTTGCATAACCAATGAAACACAGATAGACATTCTTCTGGTATTCCTTGCTTTCAGCCAAGATCCATCTAACATCAGCAACACTATCCCTAGTACCACGACCCCTTCTAGACCCAGTCTGGACTTCTGGTGATTCTCTGCTGATGTACTGTTCTGGTCGTTTTTGGATAATCTTCAGTAGAATCTTGCTTGCGTGTGAAATCAATGATATTGTTCTGTAGTTTCCACATTCAGTTGGGTCACCCTTCTTAGGAATGTAGATTAGCAAAATTCCACAGAAGGACAATTTTAAAGAATTCTGAACACAAGTCTATTTGAGTGCTACAGTCATTTGCTAATTTAATTATTATTATCCTTTTACTTTGTAGGTGGTAGCAACGGGAATCTGTTCCACTGATGATCATGTGATCAATGGACATTTGATCATGCCGCTTCCGATAATCATAGGCCATGAAGCAGGTGGCATAGTGGAGAGCACTGGAGAAGGGGTGACAACAGTTAAACCAGGTGCAGAATTCACACTTAGAATGTGTCTCAGTTCAGGCCCACAATGTCAGCCAGCCTGGATGATGAAACCAGGCAATGAGAGATGACTTTACAACAGATCTGATCAGCAGCCTAAATCTCATCTCCTCTCTCCCTGTCTGGCTTCCTTCACGCATCTTCTCAGGCTCCCATGTGTTCTCTTCTCTAACAATTATTTATTAAGTTGTGATAGGTATTTTTCTCACATGCATTAGGCATGTTTTCTGGAGGAGCCAGTCCCTGGGGAAGGACATCTTTTGGGGGATCTTGAAGCACATATAAACTTAAGGTGAAACCGACGTTGACACGCAGTGATCAATGGCATACGGTGACTGAAGTGTACTTCATGGGAAACTTGACAAAGATTGGGGTTGTTGTTATGACTCTTGTTAGGTGCCATCAAGCTGATTCTTGATTGTCGAGCCAACCTTATGAACAAGAGATCTAAACCACACCTGATACTACGCCATCCTCACAATCTGCTGTTCTCAACTCCTCTGTTGCAGTCCCTGCAGTATCCCTTTTATGGTCTTCCTCTCCTTTGCTGGCCCTGTACTTTTTCCAAGCAAGATGTCCTTCTCCAGGAACTGGTCTTTCTTGTTAATTGGCAGATACATGGCATTTAATTTATATGCCTAAATTTGAAATATTTTCTTTTAATTTGGGTAAAAATTTATGGAAAAAATGTTTTCTTTCCCTCCAGGTGATAAAGTGATCGTACTCCCTGTTCCCCAATGTGGAAAATGTGCAGCGTGTAAACACCCTGAAAGCAATTTCTGCTCAAAACTTGAGTAGGTTTCTGATACTGTCCTTGCCTGAGCAGTGAATTTTGCTGCTATATTCCTGACTCATTCCTTGTTTGTCTCTGTTGCACTGTGCAGTCTGATCACACCTAAAGGGACCTTGCTAGATGGCACTACCAGATTCATCTGCAGAGGGAAGCCCATCCACCATGTTTTCCGCACAAGCACTTTCACTGAGTATACAGTGGTCGATGAAATCTCGGTCGTCAAGATCAATGAAGCTGCACCTCTGGAGAAAGTCTGTCTCATGAGCTGTGCATTTTCTACTGGGTATGGATCAGCCCTCAATGTTGCCAAGGTAGGAATCACAGCAGGCAGTCAAAGTAAATTATGCTTATATTGTCAGGAACCAAAAATGAAATATTCTCTCTGAGGAATTGAGCATTAGTCCTTAGAGAGTTTTATAATATCTTATTCCTTGTTACCATAATAGCACTGACACATAGAATTTGGAGCGTCTGGCACCAAAATAAAAATGATCCTAGAAGAAATTAGGAGTGGGTCCTAGGAAATCATCTGCTTATTAACTCTAGTAGAATAGTCTATAAGGAGTTTCACCACTAATTCAAAGGCTGCATCTCTCTGGTGGTTCAAATTCACCAGGGATTCTGCAGGTGAAAAGTGGGCTGATTTCCCTGAATATAGGATGAGCAGTGAGTTGGTACCAACTGAACAACAATGAGTTTGAGTCTTTCTACATTTTGTCACTGGTAAGAAAACTTTTAATACATTCAACTAAACTCAATGCCATCAAGTCAGAATTATAACTGACCTACCAGTGGGTTTTAGAGACTAAAAATTGCACAACTGCTCAGCTTTCTTTCTCAGAGCAGCTGGTAGATTCGAACTGGCTGCTTTTGGTTACAGCACAACTCCCCAACACAAGCATAATTTTGTTTTCAGTAATTATTCTTTTCAATTAGATCTTGTGAGAATTATTAGAGTGAATTTAGTCTTTCCTCCAACAAGCAGTACCTACATGTATCAGACACAGTAGATTAAGTTTCACAATGTGGAAAATGAATTTGAATATAGAGTTTACCTTTGAGAATAAATTAGTTTACAGATGCAGTACTCTCATGATTAGCACCAACAAGGAATTCCAAAACCTTACCTGATTCACTTCTCCCCCTACTGCCAGCAACATGGCAACTTTGTGGCCTTTGTGGGAGAAAAACAATGAAACTTCAGTGGAGCTTTTATTGTTCTCCTTTTGAGGATTTCAGTTCCAAGTCTCCTTGCCTTGCCATTAGAACTTCTTACTCACATCCCACCATCTACCTCTTCCTTGAAGATTTGGAAGCCATAATCAGTATTATCTCCTCATTTTAGCAATTATATAAAGTTGAGGTTCAAAAGCATAAGCCTTGAAGTTCACGGTTAGTCTAAGTTCTGAAACTAAAACTTGTTTCTCAAAGCACCTTCTCCATTCTAAATGATATTACATAGTTAAAAGCATTTTTTAAAAGCAGTGTTATACCTTGTAATTAAGGAGACAGTGGTATTATCAATCCCTAGCATTTAGTAACATTTGATGAATGAATAAGTAAATAAGCATGCTTAAGGGGCTCTTCTAGTGATGGATAAAAGGTGTATTTTTATACAGAAGACTGCCAAAAGAAACAGGTTTATTAATAATTCAGAATCAATACAAAAACTTTAGAGGATATATTTTTGCAAATTATTATAATGTTAACACCAAAGTCCTTGTGCAATTGTTTCTCTGTTTACGCAGGTAGTCTAAGTGGAGACAGGGCAGAAGTACAGCAGTGAATTCCACTTCAGCAGAGATCAAGTTGAAAATACTTCATTCAAACCTGATGTTCAATGGCAGATTGGACATTAAAGTTCAAGCAGTTCACCCTAATGAACAAAGTTTAAAACTTTATGCAGCTTTAAACAGTCTCTAACAATCAATATGAATCCATTCTTGCATTTTCTAAATAACAGGTCACCAAGGGCTCCACCTGTGCTGTGTTTGGCCTTGGAGGGGTTGGCCTGTGTGTAATCATGGGCTGTAAGGCTGCTGGAGCAGCCAGGATCATTGGCGTGGATATCAACAAAGACAAATTTGCAAAGGCCAAAGAGGTGGGGGCCACCGAGTGCATCAACCCCCAGGACTTCAAGAAACCCATCCATGAGGTGCTGACGGAAATGACTGGTGGAGGGGTGGACTTTTCCTTCGAAGCCGTTGGTCATCTTGATACAATGGTATGTACAATGACATGCCTAAAGATGTGTGTCTTTGCCATGTGGAGTGTGTTCTTGGGCAACAGAACAGGAACATTGAGTACATTTTAATATCTAAAAGTAATATGATATGCATAATATCTTAAAGGTTATTGGTAATTTAGGATCATTTGAGAAATCCTATTTGTGACCCAACCCACTTGAAATGAGTTGGCTCTGAAACATGGCAACCCCATGAGTGTCAGAGAAGAACTGTGTCTCACAGGATTTTCACTGCACCACAGGATTTTTTTCAAAAGTATGTTTTAGAAGTAGTAGCAGCACTTTCTTCTTACATGACCTGGGGTGGACAAAACAACAATTTTTGGGGAGCCGTTGAAAATTTAACATTGTCTTCACTCTGGATTGCATTTGATTGAAAATAAACAATTTAATTAATATGGGTTTTCCATTCCAAAAGTAAAATAAACCTACATCAAGTAGGTTCCTTTTTAGATATTTTAAAATTTTTTAAAGAATTCTTCAAATTCACAGAAATACAAATTTTATGTGCAAATTGAGAAAATTCAATTTATCCAAGCTCTTGACAAAAAAAAGTTTTAACAATTTTTATGTGTTGAAGGGAATTCCAATTTTACAAGAAGTGACTAGCAATTTCTTCGTGCATCATAATAAATTATGGATAACATTGAGAAGACTGGGAATCTCAGAAAACTTAATTTAGCTCATGAGAAATATATACCCAGAAAAAGGTGTTGTCCAAACAGAGCAAGGGAACAATGCATGGTTTAAAATCAGAAAATATTTATGTCAGGGGTGTATACTTTCCCCACACTTATTTAGTGTGTATTCTGAGCAAATGATTCATAAAGCTAGTTTCTGAAAAGGAACATCAGGATCAGAAGAAGACTCATCAACAACCTGCATTATGCAGATGACATAACCTTGCTTGCTGAAAGTAAGATGGATATGAAACACTTCCTGCAGAAAAATCAAGAACTATAGCTTTCAGTGTGGACTACATCTAAATATCAAGAAAACAAAGATTCTATTTCTATAATAGAATAGTCAACATCATGATAGATGGAGAAAGGATTGAGGCTGTCAATGATTTTACCTTGCTTAGATTAACAATCAATATCCTTGGTACTAGCAGTAAGGAAATCAGAAGATGCATCGCCTTGGGCAAGTCCACTGTGTAGGTCAGTTCGAAGACTAAGGACATCTGACTCAAGCCATGGTCTTCTCAATCACCTGCTACACATCAGAGTACTACACAATGAATAAGGATGACAGAGGAAGAGTTGATGCCTTTGAGGTGTGTTGCAGGTTAAGAGTACTGAATATTCTACTAATTGCCAAAAGAACAAGCAGATATGTCTTGGGAAAAGTGCAATCAGAGTGCTCTTTGGAAGTAAAAATGGCACAGCTTCATCTCTGATACTTTGGGCACGTAGTAAAGTGAGTCTATTCCTTGGAAAGGGGGATGATGACGAAGCTTGGAAGGGTGGAGAATCATCAAAGGAGAAGAAAGCTCCCTCCCTAACTAGACAGGTTGTCACAGTGACTGCAGAAATGGGCTCATGTGTGTCAGAAATTATACGGATGGTTCATAGAG